GTGTGTGTGTGTGTGTGTGTGTGTGTGTGTGTGTTCATTTCTGCTGTAAACTGATTTCATGTTGAATTTTTCTGTTTTTGTTCTGTGACAAAGCTAAACAAACCAATGATTTATCAAAGTAAAGTAAAGTAAAGTAAAGTTTTATTTATAAAGCACCTTTCACAGAAATAGATTCACAAGATGCTGTACAATCAGAAGAGGATATTCAAAAATTTGGAACAAAAATATAAAAGTATAAAAGCTGTACAACCATCAAAGTATGAAGACGGTACAATCCAAAAATAAAACAAGTAAATAATATCTAGACAAAAATGTGGAGGGCAGAGTAAAACAATAACATATTAAGATGAAGGATTTTTAAATCAGAAATTAATTTGGAGGCAGGTCTCTGAATGAGTAGATCATGCAGCACTGGTACATTTTATAAAAATACATTATTGACAAATTGAAATGATTTTGGATGAAAGTCCTGTCTGTTTGACAGATATTAATATGWTGAATTGTACGGTCAGCAGGTAGGGTTTGGTGAAACAGACACTAAAAGGTCAGGCTGCAGAAAAATGCTGAAATTAGTTAGTTAGTTAATATCATCAATGCTTTCAAATGTGCGCAGATGGATAGGAAGTTCATCCCAGAGCCTGGGGGCCATGGAGGAGAAGGCTCAGTCACCACAGGTCTTGAGACGTGTGWGGGGAACCACTAGGAGATGTTGACCCTGTGAGCGTAGGCTGYGTTTGGGCTTGTAAGGAGAGAKGAGACTTTTAATGTAGTCAGGCGTCTGGACATGAAGAGCTCTGAAAGTGAGGACCAGGATTTTAAACTTGATTGGAAAATGAACAGGGAGCCAGTGAAGCTCTGAAAGGATCGGGGAGATGTGTGAGAATTTTGAAGTTCAGGTTAAGAGTCTTGCTGCAGAGTTTTGTACGAGCTGAAGGTGATTTGTCTGTTTCTGGGTCAGACAGGTGAACAGGCTATTACAATAATCTATGCTGGTTGAGATGAATGCATGAATTACTAATTCCAGGTCAGAAATGGACAGTGTTGTTATCAGTGTTGTCTGTGGTAGAAGCAGATTTCTCTCAGACTGTGGGGCACGCTGCTAGCTGGAGAACATCAGTGTTAACCTCAAAGTGTCAGCTTTTCAACACAACAACCTCTCAGTCCACTGAGTTTTACAAGYGAACCAAGCGGGGGGTTAAATGTGTGAGTTTTTGCTTCAGCAAGCACCAAACAACCTGGGTGTGACCCCCCGAGGGCCACTTTGTGTGATTAATATGATACAAGCTCAGCATGCTGTGTGTGTCTGTTTGCATTAGTGGTTGTGGCTGCTGTGTGTGACTGCAGTGTGTTTGTCTCTGCAGCTCAGCAGGACTCACTTATCTTATATTGTGTAATTGTGCTCCTGTGTTTCTCTGCAGGTGGAGCGGGAGATCGCCATTCTGAAACTCATCGAGCATCCTCACGTTTTAAAGCTGCATGACGTGTACGAGAATAAGAAATACCTGTAAGTGAAAGAGAACACTGTGTTTCCATCATTAAATCCCTTGTTCAGCCTCCCAGAGCAGAACTGCAGTTTGTCACAGTTTGTGTCCCAGCCTTATTAAAGCTCAACACCTCGTCAGGACAAAGAGAAAAACACAGGGTGTGTCCTGTTTCACTCATCATACTTCATGGTTCTTCTTCTGAAATAGCGTCCACATGTGGGAGGTTCAGCAGGTTGGACACACCTGTCTGTAGAAGGTCCTGAAGTGTTCAGAACCTCAGAGCACAAACCAAAACATGAAGGCCAACAAACTGTCTTTTTWAATTTACAACAGTTACAAAATCGATTCTCCATTAACCATGAGGGGAAAGATGTATCAAGTTAAAGCTGTAGGTGATGCTTTCTGCCTGTAGTCCCTGACCCAGCCCATACAATGTTTAAAAAGAAAAAAAAACAGCTTGATGCTATTGGTTAGAATTTAAAAACACCTAAAGAAGTCAGAGTTGTTTCAAGGTGCACATCTTAAACCCTTAGTTGAAGTTTTGTTTCTGTTAGCTCATTCTGTGTTTTTAAAAAGGATTAAAAGTCTTTGCAAAGTTCTGTCCTCCATCTTTTAAATGTTTTAAGTGTTTGTTATAAAAGCAGGAAATGTTTCTCCTGCATCCTTCCCTCCAACATGCCCCCCGCTGCTGCAGCTCTGGTGTATTTTTCTCTTTTTATTGTTTGCTTAAATCATGTGCACATTGTGCACGTTGTGCACGTTGCTCCAGCAGCGCAGCTTAATGCGCTCTTTAATAATTGATAAAGGCACCGGCGTCTGAAAGAGGAGGAATTAGTTTTCCTAATGTGCTGAGGACAGCCTCAGATGGTCATCATGGATGCAGAAATTCTCACGCTCACAAATCAGCGTGCAGCAGCTTCCTCGTTTAAACAGCTCTGACAGGTGAACGCTCCAACAGATCCTCAGCCAGGCCCACGGGCTGCAGGACGAGCTGAGCGCAGCAAGACATCGGCCAGATCTCTGAGACAAATCAACACAGGAGGACATGGATACAACTTTAAAGCACAGAGACAGACACACAGCTCAGGGTTTTATAGATTCATATTTACATCAATGTGTACACTTTAACATGTCCCAAACWCCACCAATTCTCTTTATTTGACTTTCTATACTTGAACAGAAGATGACTGTTTCTTTTGTTTTGACACCACATTCTTGTTGGAAAAAAAAGGCAGAAATGTGTTCAAAACTGTGGAAGTTAAAGACCTAATATTCATGACGGAATGAACATCAGCTGCAGAGTTTTAACCTCAGACCATCTGATGGTGGGAGGAGAGGAGGCAAACCTTTTAAATCAGGTAAATAAAGATTGTTAGGATGACTCTCAGCTACTACCCAACAATTTAGCATCCCTGCTTTTGGTAACTGTTGGGTCTACATTATGAAAAGAATTATTTATGAACTATTAAAATTCACAACCTTCATAAGACAGAAACTCCATAAATCTCTGACTGTCTCTGGTCCTAAAGACTTCTTAAGGTTCTCATTTGTTGAGGACAGCCAGCACTTTAACACAGCCTGATACCCAGTCACTTCCTCTCTACACCTTCATGCATGTGACCAAAACATGTCTGTGTGAGCCATACAATCACAGACCCTCAGGAGGGAGGGGGGGAGATGAATCTGCAGGTGAGTTTAGCTGCATGAATAGAAGATCTCCTGTAGTTTAAAGCTGGAAACTCCACCCTCTCCTGATATAAACTAATAAAACCTCAGCAAATGTAAAGATTTACCTACAGAACATACATTTGGTTTTTTTATTTGTTGTGTTCTGGATGACAGAGAACAGCAGTGGTTCCCAATCTTTTTAGACTTGTGTACCCCCAGAGCCATTTTGTCATACCACTAGTACCCCATCTGTCAAACATAATGATGGTTCTCCAAAACTATAACAAACTACAACAGATTATTAAATGAAAATTATTTATTCAACCCCCTAGAACGTTTAATTCTCAGGCATTTTATTTTTTTTTCTACTCAAATTAAACATAAAGATAAAAATATTGCCTTGAAAGTGAATAAGTAATGGCTGCTGGTTGGGAATCACTGCTTTAGACAGTTTGAAGGGTTGAAGGAACTGTCCAAGGTCCTGAAAGTGCTGAAATTACAAAGGAACTGTCCAAGGTCTTGAAAGTGCTGAAATATTTCAGGACTTTCTACACCAGCATTAGTCTCTGTTATTATGGTCACTTTGTCTAATCTGACTGTTGGTTCTTTGGCTGCTGAAACATCTGAGGAGGTTCTGTGTCTGAACATGTCCCTGTGTCCACCTGTGTCCACCTGTGTCCACCTGTGCAGGTATTTGGTGCTAGAACATGTGTCCGGAGGTGAGCTGTTTGACTACTTGGTAAAGAAGGGCCGCTTGACTCCTAAAGAGGCCAGAAAGTTCTTCAGACAGATCATCTCAGCTCTGGACTTCTGCCACAGTCACTCCATATGGTTTGTAGCTTTTGTTCACATGAAGGTTGTGAGGGCGGGGTGGGGCCAGGTGGAGTGGGGTTTGGGTGGGGCGGTTCTGAAGAAAACCCAAACTCTTCACTTCATGCCTCTATAGATGAGATCTGTGCAGAAAACACAGCATGCACAACAGAGAAGGTTTGTGTGGAAAGTGTCCTTTCATCAGATTTCTTGCTGCTGACTGACCACAGCTGAAAAGCAGCTGTGTCTGCAGACCATCAGCTTAATGAGACTCTGGGCAGAATCCACAGCCGGGTCCAAACCCACTGATCCGACTGCTTGTGTTCTGATTCTAGTTAGTCTAGTTACACAGAATGTAGAAGATGCATTTCTGTCTGTTTTCAGGTCCAAAACAGCTGGAGGAACCAGATCTGTTCAGTTTTAGCTCATAGTTTCCAGGTGTTTACATCTGGATCTGTTCAATCCAAATATGAAAGGAGCTGAAGTGTTGTTGCTGTCAGTAACGTTGCTGTGTGCAGCAGGCTGTAATGAACATGTAATAAAAGTAGTTTTTATTTTTCTTCCTGACTCCTCGGAGCACTGGAGCGTTTGCTTCATTTGGCTGATTGAGCAGCTGCTTTTCTTCGGCCTCTCTCCTCTTCAGCTGAAGCYGAAGGCGACTTTAGAGGCTGCAGCTTCTCTTCATCTCCTTTCATCTCACTGAAACCTTCAGTTCCTCCAGTCGTGGCTGCACTTTGGTGTCTCTAAGTGCAGCTTCACATCAGAACCCCTCAGCAGCACACATCCAGTGTTTGTCTCTGAACGACTGGATTTATTCTGCAAAAAACAAAGTATATATA